AATGGCTGCTAAAGTGACAGGTCTGCCAATGGCTTCCGTTGAAACACGTGACGTTACATCCTATGAGAGATAAACTAATTATCATACCGAATATTCAAATATGGGTAATTAAATCATTGATTAGCTGCGGTGGCCCAGTGGGAACGGTTCGACTTACGATTTTGTATTTAGGTCATGAGTTCGACCCTATACAGCGATTTTAGCTAGTTTTGGTTCATAGGTTGGTAAAATATATGTTATAGTTTAATAAAAAAAAGCGCATAATTCTGCTGTTGCTCAATATAATCACTATCACTTTCACTGTTTATAAAGTGGGCAATGAAATGTACAAATAAGTCTTATTAGAAAATAAAAAAGCGTTTTATGTGTCTTTCCATTGATCATATAAAAATGACTTATCTAATTAACATCATAAGAAATTATAATGTCAAATTTAAAACCATCTGCCAAAACTTATACTTGTGATACAGTGAAGTTTCTAAAAATATCGCATAACAATCTTTTTCAAGGTTAATCATGATACTTACCCTTGTATTTAAAACAAAGGGCACTTCCATTTAATGTCGATAAGTCTGTCCTATATATCATGATGACCGGGCTTCAGCCCCTTTCTAGTAGGTTAAGTTGATTCATAATACTTTAAATTTAACTACTTTAAATTTATAAAAATAATATGATTGTTATGGAATTTTACTTATGTTTTAACGCAACCGGAATATTCAGGAGTTGAAAAAATAGATTCTGAAGATTTTATTTCATTTTTAATAACCTAAGACAAATTAATAACTGAGCAGCCTTATGTTTAATCTCTTATCCAGTGACGCGGGCCCGGGTAGCGCAGGGTCTCTCGCCAAACAGCTACTTGTGAACACATGTCTTTGACGTTTTTGGTAGAGCAACCACTCATCCAACCCTTATTGCTTGGTGATTTTTCATGGTACTGTTTAGAAATATTGTACATAGGTCCTTTACATAACGATATTAGATCTGTGTGTCGCATAAGGGTATATATCGAAAAAGGAGTAAAATATTCTGTAAGTAGTGTTCTATCTATCTCTTCAGGAATTTAAGGTGACGTTGTCTTTACATTTACCATTTACAAATGTACCCCACATTATGATTAAATTGGCAAGTTTTTTTAGATGAGAATATAAATTCTTATCTAAAAATAACTTTATTTAATTGTAAATTATAATAGAAGGGGCGGGGGAGGTCGTAGATAAATTCATTCATATGAAATTCTCATGACAGATTTCCGACGCCTCCCGGTTAATGTATGTGAATGAATAAATAAATAAGAATGATAAATCCTTTTATACGTCATCGCCATACAATTTAGGTCATGAAAAATGACATCAGGGTACTAACTTAGAAGATGGTTCGATAATATTATATCACAATTTTTATTGAAAGTTGCTTAAGGTATGAATAAGGAACACTTTACCAAATCAAAAACATATATGAGACACGTGAACTAAGTTTAGTATTTATGCGATACGCCATGGTTGTCGAGTTCAACACAAAAAAAGTGATAACTAAATGGGTTCCAAGTTCAGTCATTAGACCTGAAATTTAAAAAAAAATCTGTTAATTTAATTGTAACCGAAGTTCTGACTTGGATAGTTCTTATATAAGAATTATTTTGTTAGTGTTTCTACCAGAAATTAAAGTTTTTGAAATGCTATTATATAATTCGTGTATGAAAACTAGCCAAGTATTAGTTTTTTTTTAATTTTGAGGTTACTGAGGAAGTTACTGCTTTTCAAAAAAATTATCAGTTGTGTAACTTATTTTTGATTATTTACTTACTTTTGTTGTATATACTTCTGATGATGATGACTGACACGTTGGTACTAACTTGAGTAAAGGTTTAGCATCGTAACTCAACCTCGTAATGCTTATAGTATTTTAAGCACCCTAACTCTCAACCACAATGACAAGTTATTTGATGATCTTTAGAATGATTCGATGCACCGATTACTATATTTGTATTTTTATGCCAATAATTTTGACAAAACTTTTTAGCAGAGTGCAAAAAGTTAGAACAAGGTCCTTTAATATAATTCAAGTTTGGGTGCTTGCTTCAGCCATAACGGGCACGAAAACCAGCATGAAACAACCATATCATTTTGTTTTCCCAATCCTCAAATCCTCAATCCCAAAAGGCCGGTAATACAGTCGTTACTCCTCTGGCGTTGGAGTTATTTACGAACAATGCTGATTGCTTTCCATCGGGTCCTCATCAGATGAAGTGAAAACTATTTCATGTATTTTCCTTCTCAAATAATATCTTCTGATTTATTGCTGGATCTTAAATTTATGCGGATGTCGGAGTTGCAGCGGTTTAGAAGGTTATGGCTGGTTTATCCCAAAAACTTCGACCGAATAGACACTATATGTAGTTAAGGTTATAGATAAGTACCTATAAGGTCTTCTCCGGAATAAAATCTATATTTAATAAATCTGTAGAGAGGTTAATTCTGTACATGAAATATACATATTTTCATAATAAGGGGGTAATTTAGTGATCGATACCGATGCCAAAAATGTAATCTGTAAAATGTTTGTCTGTCTGTATGGTCTTTATAGGAACAAAAACTATTCGACAGAATTTAACAAAACTTGGTACAATTATTTTTTATATTCTTGGGCAGGTTATAGGATAATTTTCATAATGCTATAATTAATAGGAGCAGAGCAATGAAGGGTAATGTTTTGAGAACGGGAAAAGTTACTCGGGAGATTTTTTTGTTCAGCTTCGTTTCGTGTACAGCCTGAATGGTTAAAATTCTAATTAGAAATCATGTAATATGGATTTTCTACATAAAATTATCCACAAAATATCCTTCAACAGCATGTCTATCCTTAATGGTAGACTCACAATAACACGTGTAACTCCTGATAGCTTACCAGTTCGGAGCATTCTAATTATATTTTTTTACTCTAAGTTTATAATACTCTTACTTATCCCTAATTAAAACGTTTATATTATTACCTATTCAATAAAAAAAGAATGATAGAAATCAGTAATATATACTGATTTTTGCGTGCACCTTTGCCGACGCCTTACTTCAAGATAAATAATACTGTGAGTATGGGTCGTTTAGTTACCCTCTATTTTTAGAGGTACATGTACGATCGTACCTTAAAGTATAATAGCATCCATAATGTAGTGAAGAAATTTGGTTTCAGCATTGCACCCGTGCGAAAACGGTAGTATTAAATAAATCAGTTGCTACTTTATTGACGTGGTCGCAAATACGAACTTAGCGAGGGGGGTTTCAGATGTGCACTAAATTTGCCCTCGTGGTATTAGAAAAAAAAAAACAATCATAATTGGTTCAGCAACGACAGTTGAAAGCCAAATGACATAATTTCTTACAAACCTCATTCGCTTTTTCTATATTCATCAATGTCATGTCTTCACGAAGGTACATATGTTCGTCACAGAAAGTGGTCGCACTTGATTCTAATACCCGCAACCTATTAAAAATGAGGAGAAGATTATTAAATTCAACAGGTTTCGAGCTAAGAAGAAAGTAAAAGAGTTTATTTTATATATACTTGCGGCAATTATATCAAGCCTATCTACAAAATAGAACTACTAAAAACTAATACACGTATAGTTTTTGTGCTCTATGTATACTTTAGCACTAGCCATCCTGATTCAAAAAACATCCGAGTAAGTTAAATGACGGGTCTTTAAGTGTGGGAGAGCCATGCTTCGGCACGAATGGTCGGCTCGACTGGAGTGATACCAGGGCCTCACAGGAAACCGGCGTGAAACAACCACAGCGTTTTGTTTCGCCGTGTGAGTGAGGTTACCGGAGGCCCAATCCTTCCGCTCCCCCGATCCCTCCCCAATCCCTTAATCTCCAAAACGCTAATCCCTAAGAGGTCGGTAACGCACTCGTAACTCCTCCATTGCGGGTGTCCATGGGCGGCGCTGATTGCTTACCATCAGGTAATCCGTCTGCTCGTTTGCCGATCTGTTACATAAAAAAAGAACTCGATTGTGAGTTATGCTACGTGTTAATTCGTGGTTGAGTGACCGTTTTGGAGTGTCAGACTCTTACTGACTAAAACCTCCCCTGTACCTTCTCCTGCTCTGGGCCGAGGTCGCGGTGCGGTTGAGTGACCGTGCGACCATTAGTTACTCGTCGAAATTGTCCCATGGCTCGAGAAGCACATAGTTAAGAAATATGCATATGGTGAAGTTTGACAGAAATGCTGAAGGGTTTCGAATTTGTAATTTGGGGCTTCCATTATTATGAGGTGCATATCAGGTATTATAGCAGAAACGGCATTACTAATTGACGACTTTTATGTTTTTGTGAAAGATAATAAAGTAAATTAAAGAAGTCACGCATCTGCTTGTATTTTTGTAGCGGTTCATAATACGCTGACAACCATCTAACACTGTCAATTAACAAAAAGATCCATTAGAATTTCGTATTATTAAACTAATTACATACGTAATGCTGGTATCCTCATAGTACAGTCACGCTTGGAAACTAAATATACGAGTAACTAACTAATAAGCATAACTTATTTCAAGAAAAACATTGAAATACAGGTAAAGTAAATAAATATTTGTCGAGCTTTGTTGTTTAGATTCTGAGAGTTAGTTAGAATTAATAAGTTTTGTTCACAACTTTGTCACTTCGATTTATCGAAATAGATAATTTGATCCCACGCAATATAGAGCTGTTGTTTCATTACACAAATGGAACTTCATACAAGGCACGTAATAACAAGGTACGACACGATTCAAGCGTCACACTGTTAGATTCAACCAATTTACCGCTACTTGTTCCCCGACCCTAAACTCTGTCTTAGTAATTTCCCGATTTCCTCGCCTCGCTAGTCGCCTCAACATCTAACTATACTTCAGGGAGATTTTTTTGTTTTCGGTACTTTGTGAAGTATTTGTAATGCAATTATTATTCATCACGTGGACATCGATCGAGGCATAGCTAAGAATAATGAGAGATGAATAGTCAAAGCCTCCTCACAATTTCGGCAACGTTGTGCGGTAGGCGGGCGCGGTGGCGTATTGGGCGGGCGGGATCGGTGTGCGCGCGAGGGGAGGTCGATAAGCAGTTTGGATCGTGAGGTCGAGGCAGACGGTCGCTTGCCTTGTACGCGGAGCGGTCGACACGCTCTCCACAACCCTCGCTCGCTCGGTTCATTCCGCCCCTCGCGTGCACCCGCGCCGCTCGTGCCTGTCGCTCGAGCCGCCGCTCGCGCTCGCTACTCGGATCGTCGCTCGCGCTCGCCGCTAGCACCCTCCGCGCGCTCTCGCAGCGCTTTTCTCTACCTTTACCTAATGTAAGTATTTTTCCAGCCTACCTGTGGATAGCCGCATCGTTCTCCGGGCCGCTTTATCTCGTATATATTTTTACAGGTTTATTTTTTAAGCTTCCGGTTCGGCTGAATATTTTGGATCGCTGCAGAGCTCTGCTGGTGTCGACTTTCGATCTCGATATACTTTATTTATTTATTAAAAATCAAGGCTGTACGGCGCACTAAAATTTTAGTGCCTGTTAACGCACTGGTAATAAAGTCTGGCACTTTAATAATAGGTACTTCGGAAATGGTTTTTACCTATCAATATAAATCTTCGGTTCGTACGTGACTTCTGTATTGAATGGGTTTTGATGGACTCAATATTGTAGGACATTCTATTTTTTAACTTAACCAGAGCCTTACCATTTTGGGTATTATATATTTTATACTACGCTATGTTTTTGGTCGCGCAGTAGACTGTTTCTCTTTAACTTCTGTTGATTTAGGTCTTTGTTTAAATTCGCGTATGTTGGTGACATTGTTTGAGAAAGCTTGAGGTTACTCAGTTTTCCTCTTATAGATAAAATATTAACAATGAAAATGTTAAATAAATTCTTCGGTTATGTAACTTCCTTTAGACGTTTTTGGTCTTTAATAAAACATTTGAATAATCTGTTGCGAGAAAAGTTGGTGGTTAATGAACGAAGTAAGAAACCTGTATGTTATCGCGATAACGGCCAAAGTACGAATTATGCAAGATTTCAATTTGATGAAAGAAGCAATATTTTAAATTATGGACCATAGGACAATTCGACAGTGAAAATAAACTCTTTTGTCATTTAATTTCGTGGATAAAATTGTTTTTTTTTAAGAATAACATATGAATACTGGTTAGAAACCTTAATTTAAAAAAGAATTAAATATAAAAATATTAATAAAAAAATTAAGAGTAAGTCTAGGTAAGAAAATATATTTTATGCTGCCAGAAAACAAGTCAGTTGTAATTTGTACTTAAAAGTTAATATAATATTGAAAACTTGATTTCAAACGAAAATAAAATTCTTTACATCGAATCGATAGATAAGAAAATAATTATATGAATACGCAATATGTAGTTTAAATAAATTAGAAAAAGTAGGTCATGTCGTAAAAGACAAAGTAGTTAATGGCCCGATGCTTCAATGGTGCTAAATCCCCATATCGTGGGCGTACGCTAATATCTACGGAATTATCAAAACCAATATTTTTTTTGTCGCTGACAATTAACATAAAGTTTTTGGATAAGGAAAAGAACATAAAAATAATAAAAATAGAAAAAAATAAAGTACAAATGATAAAAAGCGCTGAAAAAAATATATTTAATTTAAATATTTTTTAGAATATTCGCACTACCTACGTATTTCGTTTGGAGAATGCTCAGTGTTCATTCACGCGGTATAACAATGGGAATGGAAAACAAAATTGATTATCTTTGGTCTCCGACCTCAATATATATGTACGATATTGGCGTTTTTATATTCCCACCGAGTCCCTCTGAAGGGAATGTTAATATTTCACAAATCAATTTATGCCAACACGTTCTTTTTTTAAACGAGAGTTTAGGAATTTACGAAATTGTTGTGGCATTTGTTTTAAAAACGTTTTTTAGTCTCGTTGTGGTTTTAAGTCGAAGGATACACATGGGAGAGCCATGCTTCGGCCGGCCTGAAACAACTACAGAGTTGTGTTGCGTCCTGTGAGTGAGGTTACCGGAGGCCCAATCCTTCCCCTTCCCCAATCCCTAAATCACCAAATTCCTAATCCCCAAAAGGTCGGCAACGCACTCGTAACTCCTCTGTTATTGCGGGTGTCCACGGGTGGCGCTGATAACATACCATAAGGTAATCCGTACGCTCGTTTGCCAATCTATAACATAAAAAAATTTACAACATACTAAAAAAAATCAAGTTTATGAAAAGAATTGATTTTTAAAAGTAATTATCAACTAACATAAAATTCAACGATGAATTTTCAAAGAAGGATTCAAAAATCTAATAATGTAGTTCGAATAATAACGAACTTACGTTCGTTATAAAGGCCGGAAAATAAAAATAAAAAATAGAAATATTGCCTACGATATAAATAAATCCCTTTTCTTTCCTTGTATTTCTATCTTCGGTGGCAAAAGTAATCAGAGTATTTTTCTTTCAACCGTTGATCGAGATTTAACTTGCATTGACACCTCCTATATTGCCTATTATATTCGAGAAGGTTTTTACCATCCGAATAGATCTCCATTAAAGAATGCCTAGTTCGGATTTGCTTTACGTTAACTTGATAAAAACGTAACTGCGTTTAGCTTGTGATTGGTTCGATAACTTGCACCAGGCCAATCAGAGAGCTGAATGTCATAAAACATGTAGATGTCATTATCGTAAAGCAAACTTGCATAAAACCCTCTGAACTAAAGAGAACTACTGAAGTCTCCGCTCTTATTCTTGAGTAATATTAATATCATACTTTTAATTTGTCGAAAGAACAAAAGATAGTCTTTTTATGCGATAGGACAGAAAACGCGCCACTTGATTAACTGATGGTAAGCAATGCCATGGGCTTCCGCAACATGATATTCTATTAAGTCATTTAATTCACTGCATATCTCACACACTGGGTATGAATACAGGCCGTGACAAAAAAGATTAGGAAGTTGTAGAGAAACATACTGTGTCTGTACTTCTACCATTGGATTAATGATGCGATGTTAAAAATTATCAATAGGGAGAAAATGCATTAATTAGGAATAAAAGGACTTCATAATCCGTATGGCACAAAATGAAATGACTGCACGATTGGCGTGGTTGTTGGGCGACTGGCTGCCGCGCAACGTGTCGCGTTTTCGATTTTCGCACGGAACAACTCTTTTTGTGATCCACAAATGGTTGTTACGGGTCTGGATGTGATATGTATGTTAGATTGTAGGTTTGTTAACTCAATAGCGATACTGGATATATCCTTTTAAAAAAATTATATGTCGCATTGTCCTACACAAGACATACCATTTTAATACGTATGGAAAAGTTATATAAGTAATGGTTTCGAAATGTACCAAATATCTAACCGAAATATTTCTATATTCTACAAATCCCATATTCAGAGCTAGGTGTGAACATTTCAAATACAACGGAAATGTTTAATAATCACTTCGGTTTTATTTCGAGTTACGATTTCCACACGCACTTTTGTAATTACGTTAAAATAGTGATAGAAACGTTTGGTCTGGTCTGGATATAATAATATCGTACACTTTTTTTAAAAAAAAACACGTTTTAGATTTTTATTTTAAAGTATAGGCTGGCCTTTATTTTCTTACGTGAAACAAGTCAAATTATTCCCCGTATATTGGATATTTGGATTTCTATGACGTCACATTTAATAAACGTCCACTGACAAAAAGGTATATTTTGAAACAATAATATTATTATCAAATACAATAAAATATAAGTTAGGTTTTCATACGTACTTTTAAAAGATATAAGAAACTAGCTTTTGGCCGCGACTTTGTTCCCGTGGACTTCCTGCAGATTTTTGGTTTAAAAGCTATCCTATGTCCTTTCTCGAGTTCTAAACTACGTCTGTACCAAATTTCACGCAAGTGAAGAAAAGACAGACGGACAGACAGAGTTATTTTCGCATTTATAATATTAGTTTGGAAGTTTGAATTTGTAACAGCATTGCTACACGATTTTATACTTCTACCAAATATGTAGTAAGCATATCAAGTCTTAGGGGTAACCCTAAGAAATCACTCAAAATAAAAAAGAGAGAGATCTTGTTATGTGAACAATTGTTACGTTCTGTTGTCACGATGCCCTCGTCACAATTCGCTCTCTAAAGCGCACGATGATAAGTGTACAGAATTATTTAATCATTTTATTGATCTACCACCTTTCAACACGAATGTACGCGCGAGGTCGCGCCACCAAATATATAAAATCAATTAAACTTTGAAGAACGCTTATCAAGACTTGAGTTTTGAACTTTAGATTCTCTTCGAGTCTTTTGTAAATTTTTTATTGTTTTATTTGTACCGGAAATTCGTGTTTGAACTTAGCAGCGAGTTATTCGGTCATTCGAGCGATTGCTTGCTATCAAAGTTGTTTAATTACTGCCGCTTCTCATGCGAACTTAGATCTATTATTTGGTACGATAGTAGTCTTGAGTCAGTCGCTAGTAGTTATTTCAAAAATGACGTAATTAATAATATTTATTAATTCCCCAATATTTTATATGTTGCACAGAAGTAGCATATAAACGACAGAATATCTCCTAGATTTTGTAGATCAATACTATAATATGTAAAAAAAATGATTATGTTAGTGACAGGCAGTTCTTAAAAACTAGGATATTTCTACTAATATCTGGTTAATATTTCCAAGGCTTGTAATCGCAAGGTCAACAAGGTAATCAACGATTTCGATTTCATGCTTACAAACAGTATTTAATTTAACTAAAATTCGCGGGTTACTCACGTGTAAATGTTGAGAAAAGCTCTACTAGTTTCGAACCACAGAGGGGTGCACGCTGCTCATGAGGAAGAACCCCTCTGTGGTTCGAAACTAGTAGAGCTTTTCTCAACATTTACACGTGAGTAACCCGCGAATTTTAGTTAATTTAGTATGTCTCACGATAGTTATTATAAAAACAGTATTTAATTTTGTAAAACGTAACTATTAACTTTAGCTTAGGATTTAAGAATTACTATCCACTTTAGCCCTTACTATTATATTACACTTAGGTTACCCTCGGGTGAGCCATTTCGTAATTTTATGACTAAATCTATTTATAATATCATTTGCGATCAAATTATTTCAATTCAAGTAAGGCTTTATGAAACATGAGAAGAGTTAGAAATCTGCGTAGATGTGCCTTTATGTTTTAATATTTATAAGAAAACTTACCCGAGAGGTAAGCTGAGGTGTCTTTTACTTTTTCTGTTTGTCATTGATAGTGTGAGCCATGAAATGAGGTTTTAACTATTGTTTTACACTAAACATACCTACTTTGAGAGGCCTTGCTTCTATCGACTATACATAGGTATTACTTATTACTATACATAGGTATTTATTGCTATACATATTTATTACTATATACATAGGTATTAAATCATTATATAGGTAGTATAAAATAAAGTTACTTACATTGTCCCTATATGCTTAAATTTTCAAAACCACGCGACGGATTTTGATGCATTTTTTAATAGCTAGATAGAGTGAGAGAGGAAGAGAGAGAGAGAGAGGAAAGGAGAGAGATAGAGAGATTAAAGAAGAAGATTTTATATGAATAATAACATCCATTAAACAGTGGAGAAATTTAGTATCAGCATTGCATCTGCGCGAAGCCAGGGCGGGTAGCTAGCTAATTATAATACGAATATATAATACTTCAAAATAAATGCTGTTGCTTGTTACTAAAACGAACATAATGTTCGATGCATCGAAAATAGCAAGCAACAGTCTGCTATATAATTAGTCTGTCTGAAATACGTACGTACCTACATACATACATGAATAATGTACATGCTTAGAAGTGAAACAAAATTTCGAATTTCTATTTCCGAGAGTTTTAAGATCTTGAACGTTTACCGAAATATTTTGCTTGCTACTGACAGTTTTAAAGTTAAATCTTCTTTCTTACTTATGCCATTTTAAAAGCCGCGTGGCACCGAACCGGACATTGAAATAGGATGGTTCGTGAAGCGATTGGTCACGACAGATACAAACACATTTGGTGTTTTATAATGTGGCTTTTAATTTCGAGAACCAAAATAAAGAATTTTTTTTAAATAAACGTTGTCCTACATAGGGATTTTCTCCTGTGTCGTGGGTGCGTTTACAAACATACAAATCCACATGCACATCACACCCAGATCCGGAACAACAATTTGTGGATCACACAAAGAATTGTTCCGTGCGGGAATCGAACCCGCGACACGTTGCACGGCAGCCAGTTGCCCTGCCACCGCGCCAACCGTGCAGTCAAAGAATACCATTGTCCCAAATACAAAATGTACTTCCTTTATACTTAAGCAAAATATGTTGTAGGTATTAAAATAATGACAACGGTATAAAAAGGTTAAGGAAGAAATAAAAACTGAAGAGATATTATTGAACTTCCGTAGTGAACTGACGATCAGTGAATGTAACAATCCTACTAGATGCGATACTAAATGTGTAATAGCACTATTAAATGAGCTAAATTCGCAATTAAGTCGGTCTTTTTGGGAATGCAAGCTTTAGAGTGTTGTACGACACCGGTTTTTTTAAACCGATAAGTGTGGGAGAGCCAAGCTTCGGCACGAATGGGTCGGCTCGACCGGAGTGATACCACGGCCTCACAGAAAACCGGCGTGAAACAACCACAGCGTTGTGTTTCGCCGTGTGAGTAAGGTTACCGGAGGCCCAATCCTTCCCTCCTCAATCCCTAAATCTCCAAATCCCTAATCCCTAAAAGGTCGGCAACGCACTCGTACTCGTAAATCCTCCGTTGCGGGTGTCAATGGGCGCGCTGATTGCTTACCATCAAGTAATCCGTCTGCTCGTTTGCCGACCAATTAAATTAAAAAAAAACCTTAATAATACCACTTCAGTTGGATCAGACACATTACCGTATAAAGATACGACATTCTTTTTAATAATATTCGTAAGTATCTCATTTCTTTCAAAATTTGCTCTTTAAAATCGAATCGCTGAACCTCGCTGTTCCGTGAACGGAACCTACATAGTTTTAAGATCAAACGATTCTATAATTTAATTCAGGGAGAATAATCGTTTTCCAATACCAAGGCTTGGACAAGGTACCGTCGCGACTTAAAACCTACATAATATTAAATACTGTGAAGGTTATTTTATGGCTGGTTCGGCAACATATTGTTTTGTCGTTTCCTCTGTCTGTGACGAAATTGATTCTTCGTCGGTCTTTTTAATTATTTTTATATATGAGATACGATTATGAAATTTAATGACGACATAAGAAAATTGTTATGCTGAAGTTATATGCGGGGTAACGGTATTTTGAGATTGATTATAAATGATATACCATTGGTGTACAATCTTAGTAATGTAGTGTCGATTTTCAACGGTACCACAATTTATTTAGGCTGTGAAATGCACTTTTTAAATAAGAATAATTGAGACTTACGTAGAGTAAAGCGAAGTAGAAATTAATTAACGAGTTATAACTAGTATAAAACTAATAGTATACTTGTGAACATAATTCCATTGTTGCAGCATAAAACCTGAGTTTACGAGTACAAAATATAATGCATAAAAAAATTAGTATCCCGTAGTAGTAAAAGTTGATGTTTGGGAATGATCCCAACATATCCAATCCAAATTAATCGAGGGTGACGTAATTGTTCTAACAATAATTACGTTAGAAACAGCCTGCGTAGCTATTGCTACGAGATTGCTACGCAAGTTCTCTGTAACGACGCTACGCAAATCCATGCTACGATGCTACGAGATATACTACGCGACGATTGAAAAGAAATACTCCGTTTCATATTCGTTTTTGAAAATATGATTTTATTGAATACGTGTCCTTGACACGAAAGCGGAAAAGAAGTTGTAGCTCGACTTAGAACTTGGGTCAAAAGTGAAAAGGAAATTTGACATCGTAGAATTTTCATCTCTTTCGCGGATTCGACCTAAATATACAAGCTGATGCTTTCAAATCGCTTAAGTTTAAATAATTTAAACTTTGTGGGAATATTTGTTCAATTTTGTGATAAACGGACTATTAATTCGATATTTAATTCACTCTCTATATCCATTAGATAACATAGTGAACTTTCCTTAAATCATAATATTCAACCTGGTTCCGAATGACATCTCCGTTTTAATTCATTTGTTCATGACCAAATAACTATTAAGAATAACAAAAGATAGATTTGGGTCTAATTGTAGAAAAACAAAATGTTCTTAATGGAACTGTAATTACCCACCACTCATGAAAAGTGGAATAAAAATAATCGGTCACAATTACAGTATTGTTAAAAAAT